AAAATTGTCTTTTGGCAAAAAGGATTAGTTACAAAGCTTGAACAAAATACCTGATTCTTCCAGGATTTGGATCCGTGAAGGCAGGATTATTTTCAATTTCCTTGTCTTCAATTGAGGTACAACCTAATTTAATGCCCTCTTCTAAAGTTCGCCTTTTGAACTCACCTAATTTTGGGGGACGATGGAGCCACACTTCATTATCTTCCTCGGAATCTGAAGATATGTATCTTTTATGACCTAATTATTGTATGGACTGTAGATTGCCTATTTTATGTTTATTTTTATTGAAAAAAACTAAACAAAAATTTATGCACGTTAGAACATTTGGTGACCCAGTTACTTCAACCACACCACTTAAGGATTAATAGAAGCTTATTCATTCTCACCCAAATTGTAAAAGCATCTTTTTATTTCAAATAGTTCCAATGTGTCCTTGGCATCTTCACCTTTACGTAAGGCTTTATTAAGCTTGGATTTCTGTTTGTATGGAGGCCAAAAAACTTGGGTTTTAAGAGGGGTCATCCAATTGTCATGGACAACCGCCAATTTTCCCTCTTCATTACCTTCTCTATGAGAAGAAAAGACATTTTTCACCAATTAAATAATTGAATTATTAATCAATATAACATTTTGATGCTTTGGCTTTGATTAAATTCAAAACAAAACCAAAACGTCAAACTAAAAAAATCATGCAAGCTGCATGAGGCAACAAATCAGATTTTGTTGGTTAGGTATGTCTTACAAAATCAACGTTACCCCAAAAAAACAAGTTGGTTTTATCCCCTTTATGTTGTACTAAAACGCTATTAATATTATTTAAACCTCATAAAGTTTAAATTGCACTTTATAAAACGAAAAAGTGGGATTTTGTAGGTTAGGATATTTACAAAGGTTATAAAACGATTTAACCGCTTAGGCAACTTACCTTCTAGAAAATAAGTTTCCGCTCGCCTCAAAAATTACTTTCTACTTAGGTACAAACAGCGTGTCCACATGCAGTGCGCGTCACCTTCAAACCACAGCTTACTATCCACAAAACAAACCATGCTATTATCAAAGCTATAATATAACAAATAAGACGATACACATAAAGGTTTTAAATGTTTTATCTTCTATCCTACAACAAATAATACGATACACATAAACGTTTTAAATGTTTTCTTGTGCCATGACAAATAGCTTACTATTTAAGTTAAAGAAGTTCGTCAAACGAATATCGGCGCATCGCGTAGCGCGGGAACAATACCCATAACAGCAGAGCCATGCGATTGGTTTCCAAACGAGAATTGTCAAGGTTTGCTAAAATTCAAATATAAAGCCAAAATAATTTTATAATTTCTACGAAAACCCTACTATAGTAGGGTAAACTTTAAATAATCCACTTCAATGTAGAGTAGCCGAAAATTATTGTTTCGAAAATAGGAAAATTTAATTAAATACTAAAATTAGCTTAAGTAGAAAATTATTTTGCATAAAAATCTAAAAATTATATTTTTATTTCCTATAAGGTCATCAGAGTTCGATTTGACATATAATTACTCTTTAAAGAGATCTAGGACCTTACATTACGTACGGACGACGTCTGATAATAGACGTCGTCTGACATAAAATGTGACGTCGTCATAACGTCCTACATTGGTGATGTGACGTCGCCAACCAAAAATCACCTAAAACTGACGTCATTTAAACGTCAGCAGACGTCAGTGTACTCCTGTGTGACATTTGCTTTATATGTCTTTTTAAAAGCTGACAATAAACTAAAATTTAGAATGTAGATTATAGTTGTCGATAGATCTCGCAAAAATAAGAAGAAAAGTTTATATAAACTTGTCTGTTTTAAAGCTTCGTTTCTAGATACAGGGTGGTATAGTTATATAATATTTTATTATTTTAAAAATTTCAAAAACTCCCTGGCTTAATTTAATAAAACTTTATTTAAACTCTGAAATGGGTTGTTTCAACTCTATTTAGTGTAACGAGCCCATCACGACACGTGTCAAATTCGGATAATTCTCACTTCACTCTACTATCGTGATTTTTTTCATTGTTTCATTGGAATTTGGCGGTGTAATCAGTGATGTGTGAATTATGGGTACGTATATTATTATAATAAATATAATTGTTTTATTTATATCTTTTCAAATAGTTATATTTACTGAAACACTGTATAAAAAAAATAATGCCCTTTCGAAAGATGTACCACAAATAGCCCTTTTCCATTTGAAAAAAATATGGGGGAATGCCGACCCCGCTAAGGGGTTAAAGTTACAGTGATGAAATTAATTTGTAAATATATCTCCCTGAAAACAAAAGTCTACGGGTCCAAAGATTTTTTTTATTTTTACATACAAAGCCGTAAATCTTGCTGTACTGTTTTTAATGGGCCACCCAGTTAAAATAAATCATTAATATTAAACGGCTTAAAATCTTGTATGTAATTACTACATTTTTCCTATAAAACTTTTCCATACTATTTTTTATATATTTATATATGGTGTTTTTAGGTACAGTTTATATATATATGTATATAGTTTAACACGATTATGCTCAAAATAATATGTATTACTTTAATATAATATATTATATAAATTGATTTTTTTAAGCATCATTCCCATCATCGACATGTTTGTAAGGGATCTGAATTTGTGTTAAATAAATATATATATATATATAAATAAAAATTATAGGTATATCGTTGTTTAGAGCCGTTTCACATGCGACTGATAAAGTCCTGACGATCAGTCCTGATGATACGGACTGACGGTCATGACCATTGTTTCACAAGCAACGTATAGTACGGAAATGTCTACTACGAGACGGTTCTCAGCGCCTCCGGAACTGCGCTGTTGCCGCTTTTTGTATAAAGAGAATAATACAACGCAAAAAAGTTCTTCTTTGCTTTCGCAAAATTTTCAAAATCCGGAACTACTATTTACGCTACTTCTTCAAATGCTTTGTTCTTTGCATCCCTATTTTTGTAGTTCTCATCATCTGCATACCAGATGCATCTTCGCTGTTCGATGCTATTTATTACAATTTCAGTATCAATGCGTAAACTACTCATTGTGCAACACTGTTTCTGCTGACCGTACGTACCATATGAAATACTCCATATAATTAACAGCCCTTAATAGTCCTGACGGTACGCAGTGCGCACGGGCTGTCCCGATGCCCGTGCCGACGAATCAGTCAACCGATGATACGCAGTGCATGTGAAAAAGTTCATTTCAACAATGGCCCCTAGTCATCAGGACTGACCATCAGGACTGATCGTCAGGACTTTATCAGTCGCATGTGAAACGGCTAGTGTGTACCTTTGTACCTTCTTGTTCTTTTTATAAATTTAAATTTTTTCTTGTATTTTACCATTAAAAAACACGGTAGTGTAAACTAAAAATTAGTTATACTTCTCTCTTAATATGAAATAGTCAAAATTCTACTATTTGAATTAGTACCAGCATTTTTTACTAAAAAAATAGTCGTTTTCACTTTTAAATAGTTATTTTAAACCATACCGACCAAAAAGTTCGTCCTTTTTCAAAACGACATAACTTTTTGTTTTTTGATCGATTTTATTTTGGTCTGTGATGTCTGCTAGCCCCATCCTCTGGCAATTAATGCTATAGATATGAAGCTAACGGTTCTTTAAGTAAATTTCGTACAGGGTCATATGTAAAACGGTAAAAAATTTCAATTACTTCTTAGCAAAGAAAATATGATTTTTTTTTTTAAAAAAATACATTTAAGGCTTTTTGGTAGGCAATACACTAGGTCTTTTTAAGAACAAGAAGATAAGATGGTGAAAGATTGTTCCTTGAATAATTTTCAGAGGGACCTAAGCAAAGACCACTTTTTCAAAATGACATTTTGGTGAAAATTTGCGAAAACTAATCCTGAACCGATATTCGTTCGTGACATGTTTTCTTTATAATTTTGACCTCCTGATTGTGATTCAGTTGTCAAATTTAAGTTTCAGGTAAAACCAAAATCACTAAGAATCAAAATCCGAAAACAATTCCCGGCTGTTAAATGTCTTAATAAAATCAGATTGCTGGCGTGTTTCTTGCATATTTATGATTAAAATGCCATTTGGGGATTCATTTTTTGGGCGAAATTACTGCAATTTGTTTGAGTGGTTAGGATAATGTTACATAACTTACATTTACATTGCCCACTAGTGATAACTTATCACTGATCAGTACCTACCTAATTTGTAATAAAGTTAAATACAAATATTTTTGTTCTTTTTGAAATTTTTTTTAAATTTAAATCTACTAATTTGACTATTTCATTCGGTAGAATTTGACTAATTATTAGTGACTGCTTTTCGCTATGACAATTAGTCAAATATGACTAATAATTTTTAATATCTTATTATCATAGAGTAGATTTAACACTAAATTGTGTAAATTTGTCCCTAGATTAGTAAACATTTAAACTTATCTATTCTTAAAATAGTATATTAACTAGAGGTTAAATAAAACGTAATTTTAGCACGATGGTTATATAAAATAACACTATTTTTGGTAAAAGTTACACTGCAATGCACACTACTGTTAGTGTAAATATTTAATTGGTCGTATATCCCATCTAATTAGAATTTAAAATTTACTCCATTTATTTTACTGTGTACTTTTTTGTCTCTTGCTTTTTTTATCTTATTTTAATTTTCAGTACACGATTTTTTTCTAGAAAGAGATATAGAAAAAAAATGCAAAAGATAAAAAAGTTGGATTTTTAATGGCTTAATCTAAATATAATATCAAACTCATAAAAAACATACTTGTTTTAATAACTTTAACCCAACCCTGTATCTCAAAAACAAAGTTTTAAAGTATTCAAGTTCATATAAACTTTTTTCATATTTTTTCGAGTTCTATTGACTATTAAATTAAACCGATTAAAATCTGAGACATCCTGTATATCGTCGCCTTGCGAGGCAGCGTTCCGAATTTTTAACTGTTTCAGGTTTAATTACTAATTGATTTTATCTTTTACAGTTGATGAAAATAGAGTAATATTACCTGGTGGTGAATATATCAATGCTTCTTATATAAAGGTAAGTAATTATTTAATTGAATAATAAATGCAATGTTCTCCTCAATTTTTATTTCTAGGGAAAATCAGGAAAAGTTGAGTACATAGCATGCCAGGCCCCTTTAAAATCAACTTGCAAGGATTTCTGGACTATGATCCTTACCGAAAATGTCTCTATCGTCGTAATGGTTACTCAGCTTTATGAAAATAGAAAGGTAGGTACTATAAACAATTACAAAAAATATAATAATTCATATAATTTTTAGGAAAAATGTTACGAATACTTTCCACACTTAAACGCATCAATGATTGAAGATGATATAACGATAACATGTTTAACAGAAACCTATAGGAAGGATTATTGTCTAAGAACTTTTGAAATTGAAGTAACTAATTAAGTCTTTTTTACGGCCGTATTAATTTATTTTATTTTAGACTGAACACCAGGTTTTATTAATAAAACACTTTAGCTTCTTAAATTGGCCCGACTTTGGTGTTCCTAAATCAACAGAATGTTTGTTAAATTTTTGCAAAGATATAAGAAGACATTACCGAAATGGAAAAATAGTTGTACATTGCAGGTAAAATCTTATAACATCTTAAAATTTAAAACAAAATTAAACTTGTTATTGTTATTGTAGTGCTGGCGTTGGCAGAACTGGAACGTTTATAACTGTTGATATGAATTTGGAAAATATAGACGATAATCTCGATATAAATATTTATAGCACTGTTATAAATTTAAGAAAACAAAGATTGCTAATGGTTCAAACATTTGTAATAAGTATTTTAAAATTAGTAATACAAAATTTAACATACTTTTTTAGGTTCAGTATGAATACATCCATAAATGCATTGCGAGCTACATCAATAATGAATTTGAAACCACATTTTAAAAATTGTGTTAACTTTTTGAAAAATTTCTATTTAAAAATACCTAATTTTGCTTTATAAAATTCGTCCTGATAAAACTTGCTAAATATTTTGCTGTACCAAACTGGAACAAGTTTATTTTTATAAAAATGCCCAGGAAGAGAAAAATTAAATTCACATTAAATTAAATTAACATTTTTAAGACAATATACATATTTTATTTATAGACTCCTCCTTTTGACCACCTAGTGGTTCATATTATACTCGAACATTTTGTTAATTAAAATTTTTAAACCCAATAATATTTTGAAAAGTTTTGTACAAGGCTGAACCCAAACTTGACCTTAGAATCGCTTTATCCAGGGCCGAAACTGTAGTTAGTTAGTTTTATAAAGTATAGATATACTATATATATGCCCGGGGTGGACAAAAAAACCCGAAACGATATTTTAATGTCTTTTAAATTAAAAGTTTAATATGAAAATAACTAACAAACTGAGTTTTATAACAAACGTAAAAATTGCATATTACAAATAAATAATATAACGAGGTGTGAAAATAACGGAAATTTTATTTTTAGAGGAATATGTTATTAATTCTCAATCTTTTGGATAGCTTATAGCTCTTTCAGCAATGCGCTTAGTACCACAAGTATTCCGGGGATTGGAAGAAGCCCTGGCATAAATGTATGTGTGTAATTATTTTATATTGTAAATAATGGTTTTATAAAAACACCCTTAGTTTTGTCATTTTTATAACAAATTAATTTAACACTAAAGTGTTATAGATGTGCCATCAAGAAATAACTAATTTTGAGTAAAAAACCGAGTGTACTATGTAACCAGGGCTGGCTCCAGGACTTGTGCAGCCTGTGCCAAATTGGATGAAAATGTATATAAATGTGTATGTTTACCTGTAAAACTTACTTTTTATCAAAATTCTCAGGAATAACGAAGTTATAACGCCTTTTGGTTTTAACAGATATTCAGTTTTTTTTAATATTTGATAACCGCTAATTTTTCCCTTTATTTTTGCCATTTTAATGGCTTTATTTTAACCGACTTTGTACCTCTTTACCAGTTTAAAATTTAGCATTAGCTAAATAAGCACTATAAAATAGGTAAGTCATTGTTAAGAGGAGCAGCAAAGTTTTGCACGGGGCACATAAATGTCTGGAGACGGCCCTGTATGTAATTTTAAAAATGCAAAGTGCATTGTGATACAATTTAAAAATAAAATTTAAGTATTATGTAAATGTACTGGTTTAAATTTGCAGTTTAATTTATGTCTATTATATTTTTATAGTTTAATAAAGAATTGTAATAATTTCATAGTATTTTATTTCAGTGGCGAATTTAGGGGAAGTTTAGGGGGTTCAAATCACTTCGAAATTGTCGATAAAATATTTTGCATTGCAAATTAGAGCCATAACCCACTTTTGTTGCATTTAAACAAAACAAAAGTAATACTACAAATTTAAGTACCTATATGGCATATTATAAATATAATATATTCTTTAACAAAAGTGTATGTTGCATTAAAAACTGTGTTGACTGGTAATTATTTTGTATAAAACGTGAAATCAATCAAAATACTTATATATATATTTATGTATATGTATATACATATATATATTTACATCTTTAATTATTACGGCCTCGTACAATAGACAAGTTTATCGGCCTCACCCAGATGGAGCGTAACCAGCGAATGTCTATGTCATGTATATTATATGTCAAAGTATTCTAAACAGATCCCGCGCACTTAGAAATCCGTATCTTTAATTTTATGGTATACATCTTTCATACATAAAAACCTCTTACTAAATAACTCATATTGTGGCTTCAATTTGTGTATATATTTTTTAAATAGCGACATTCTAAACTCATGTATATACAATACAGCCTCATACATGGTTGCCAAATCTTATTAGATGGTTAAAGGCATTCAAATTAATGAATTGAATTTCCTGCTTTCATCGCACGAATTTCAAAACTGTTTTTATGAAACAAATTGTAGATAATTTATTTCATAATATTTTGGCATCAAAATTATCAAAAATATTTTTCTTTTATTAGGCTATACATTAAATAAAAAAACGCAAAAAATATTTTATAAAAGCAAAGATAATTTTAATAATTAAGAGTTGTAGACGGGACAAAAAAAAGATTTATCTTAAGATACAATTGATTCGTCCACACCTGTCAATTATTTAAATTATCGTTTTACTTTCATAAAATATTCCTTGCGTTTTTTTTATTTAATGTATAGCCTAATAAAACAAAAATATTTTTGACAATAAAAACAGTTTTGTGATTTGTCCCCTTCGTATATATATATGCTTGAAATGGCGGCTAACCTCCCGGGCAACATTCGTGATATTCATACGAACATCATGTCGTGATTTTCACAAATTTTATTCATACTGATATCATACGGAAGTCGCCGCGTAAATGAAAATCATACGAACGTCACGTCGTGATTTTCACAAATTGTATCATTTTTGCGCCACGTTCGTACACTAAGAGAAAAATTATGTTGAATTAACAGTTTTTGCGGTTAAATGCATTTAATATTTTCTTGGATTTAAATGAACTATATATAGTTAATTTAAATCCAAGAAAATATTGAATGTATTTAACCACAAAAACTGTTGACTATACTTTTTATCTCAATGTACGAATGTGGCGCAAAAATAACTATCCAAACACCGATGGCATAAAAAATCACGACATGATTTTTTATGCTGTCGGTGTTTGTGCATAAAAAATCACGACATGTTTTTTTATGCCATCGGTGCACCGACATGTTCGGATATTTATTTTTGCGCCACATTCGTACATTGAAAGAAAAAGTATGTTAACAATTGAATTAACAGTTTTTGCGGTTAAATACATTTAATATTTTCGTGGATGTAAATTAACCCGGACAACATTCGTGATATTCATACGAACATCTTGTCGTGATTTTCACAAATTTTATTTATACTGATATCATACGGAAGTCACCGCGTAATAAATGAAAATCATACGACGTTAACGTCACGTTCTCTTAGTGTACGAACGTGGCGCAAAAATGATTATTCAAACACCGCTGGCATAAAAAATCACGACATGATTTTTTGTGCCATCGGTCAATGGCAAACAGCGATGGCATAAAAAATCACGACATGACTTTCATTTCTTACGCAGTGACATCCGGATAATGTCCGTATGAACTAAATTTGTGAAAATCACGACGTGACGTTCGTATGATTTTCATTTATTACGCGGTGACTTCCGTATGATATCAGTATGAATAAAATTTGTGAAAATCACGACGTGATGTTCGTATGAATATCACGAATATTGTCCGGGTAGGTTTTAAATTCGCAGTTCGCAGAGTTCTACATATCACTGTGATGAAGCATGTGTATGCACTCAGGATATCACAGCGTGATAAAAAAATCACGTTGTGATATCATCATGACTTTACAAGGAAATCCCGATTGTTGTCCGGGCTGTAAACCTGTTTTTCCGGCTTTCAAAATGGCAGTTGGTTGTGAAATTTTTCTGTAAAATTTGAAGTTTATCTCTTAAAATGGACTAACTACCAATAAAATCCGACGTATAAGCAGTTTTTTTTACATTGAAAGTGAAGAGGATGTGTTATCGTTATCGTCAAATACAAGTATACCGCGAAATCAAAAGATCATGATATAAGTATATGATAAATTGTAAAAAAAAAATTTATTTAAATTTTTATTTTTTTATTAATTAATTACTGAGGTTTTTTTTTAATTTTTAAGGGATCAATTTTAAATGCGAAGCTCAAAATGACAACTGTTAAAATTACAGGTGCCAATATAACGGCTGTAAAAATGACTGATTCCCGAATGACAGATGCCAAAATAATAGCTGTCAAAATGACAGGTGCTTAAATTACATCTGTCAAAATGATCGGTGCGAAAATGACAGGTTCCGAGTTAGACAGCCCAGCAAACACAACCGTAAAGGTTCTATAATGGCCCTTTATAGAAGTAATTTTAAAGTCAAAGTGCGAAGAAATGGATACAAATATTGGAAAAAAATCAGGTTCCTATTGGTTTTTCAGGGTCGCCGAAATTAAATAAGGTTAAAACCCTTTTTTTTAAGATCATTCTATTTCAGGTGGTCACTGCATTTGTGCTCTCATGAAAGTTTAAACTACTTTTTTACACTTTTACCTTAAAATAACCCTGAAATGCCTTTTAAATAACCACTGGGCGACCTTTCCAGGTCAATTAAATACCAGATTCAAATTAAGCAAATAGTTTCAAACACTTTTACACACTTTTACCTTGAAATAACCTCTGGATGACCTTGCCGGGTCACAGTTAGCCTAGAGGGCCTTTTCAAGAAAAAAAATATACATGATTTAAAACTCGGATTTTTAAACCATAATTCTAAGAATTATCTTTACAATTTACTTAGAAGCGTTTGTTCTTTTAATAGTAAACATATTAAAGTCTGATTTTGATTTATAGTTGTTTATTTGGTAAGCATTTAGGTACAGTATTCGTTAAATATCTTCTTTATTCTTAATCATAAATTAAAATTAGGTACTAGTATTTACAGTTTGGTGTTAATGTTGTGATGTACGATTTAAATACGAATTTTTTTTTATATAATTCTGAGTTTGAGGACTGTATTTACAATATGGCCAACTTCGCAAGCGAAGCGGTGCGGTGTGACAGTTAGTATTAAAATAATCAAAATATTGACGATATTGTTTATTTTACATATTTATAGGTTAGAAACTAACCAAATGTTGTAGTTCACAACATCATTTCAAGAGAAATAAAATAAAATATAGTATTTTAATAGGTCATTTTTACATGTCTAGCAAAAAAAAAAACATTTTCTACAATTTCTCGAAAAGGGCTCGATAGAAGATTTTTTTTTTTTTTGATAATAGTAGTATATCTTATATGTATTCCAAAAATCTGAGTTTTAAATCATGTATATTTTTTTTCTTCAAAAGGCCCTCTAGGCTAAATGTGGGGTAACAAACGCCAGTTTTGGATTCTGCGATCCGAAAAGTTTAATATACTTAATTTTTTTTCCAAGCAACTCTTCTTACTTTGACCTTGAACCTGATGTGATAGAGGTCAATTGACCTCGGATGCGAAATCAGCGACCCCAAAAACCCCAGGGTGCCCTACTGAGGTCTATTGATACTTTTTATATCAAATGTTGACCTGTGTAATTCAAATAGATTTAATAAACATAATAAACAATGGTAATGGTAAATCCATGAAAAATTAAACAAGCAACGAAAAGTTAGATATTTTTATTTAACGCTTTTTTTAATTTTTAAAATTCCTTCATGGATTGCCAAGTTTTTAAATTTGTGAATTTTTGAATGGATTGTAAAAATTAAAAAAAGGTTGAATAGAGAATCAAAATACCTTTCAAACAAGGTATCACAAGCCCCCTTATTCTATTTAGTCCTGCCATCTTGGCACTAAGCAACAAGTCTTAAGACTTAATTGTTAGGCAGGCAAATGTCAATTTGACGACTAAAAGTAGTATACTGACCCTGGTTTTTTCCTGACCTCGATATCTTTCTTACTTTGTTATTTATAAATTATTTTTTTCAAATAACAAAACTACAGATAATGTAACTATTTTAAAGAAATAGTTTAAGTATTACACATTATATAGGTAATAGTAATAATAATATACTAAAACCAATTTTTTATAAGAACATTACCCGCGCCTATTACTAATGCAGATCCTTCTCGTGGTGAGAATCGTTGGATGAGGCCGATAAAATATAGGTAAATCGAGTAGAAAATACAAAGCGATGTTGCCAAATTAGTTGAAGCCATACTATACTAAACTCAACAAATATAGTCAGTCTGCGGTTAAAATGTTTAACTTAAGTGACATCTATGATATAGTAATGGAAGTTTTAAACATGAAAAATTATAAAAATCTATTATTTTTTATTAAATAAGGGCGTAATCTTAAAAAATTAGTGAGGTCCTAATGTCGTTAAATAACAAAAATTGTATATTTTAGTTCATGCATTTTGGCGCTGCAGTCGTGATTTGCGTATACATTACGTGTATATATTTGTTGAGTTTAGTATAGTATGGCTTCAACTAATTTGGCAACATCGCTTTGTATTTTCTACTCGATTTACCTATATTTTATCGGCCTCATCCAACGATTCTCACCACGAGAAGGATCTGCATTAGTAATAGGCGCGGGTAATGTTCTTATAAAAAATTGGTTTTAGTATATTATTATTACTATTACCTATATAATGTGTAATACTTAAACTATTTCTTTAAAATAGTTAC